ATTGTCAAGTTGGAGTCTCCCCGAGAGAAAGGAAGGAAATTAAGAATAAGATCAGATAAAGATAAAGTAAAGTTCAGGTATAAACATGAAGAAGACCTGCAGAAGGGACATGGAAAAGACTTAAGAGCCTCGGATAGAAGGTCACCAGGTTGATGGACTAGATGGATGGAACAGAAAGGACTGACAAAACCCGAGACCAGGAAGAAGAGACGACGGATGAAGATTGGAAGAAAGTTTTAAAAATTCATTTAGAAAACCATTGTAAAATTAATGAGCATTAGAAAAATGTTGGAATGAAACTATTTGGCTTTAGTAGAAATGTTAAAAAGAATTATGTATAAATATGTTTTGTTAAAAAGAATTAGGTATAAATAAGATTTTAGTTTTAAGCTGTAGGGTTTTTTATGGTAAGATAAGGTCAAAATAGATTAAGGTAATTTAATGACAGAATATTGTGAAAGATGGAAAGGATTTGCTGAGATAATTAATAACTAGAATACAAAAAAAGGGAGGTGTGAGGAGGTCGATGAAACAAGTTAATGAAAGATAAGGATTTGGGAATATTGGATTTGCTTTTAAATTTTTTGTTGTTGTTTTTTTATTCTGATGTATTGTGTGTTTTGCTTTTTTTTACTTTTGTTTTTTTTACTTATATTGTTTAATCTCTTTTTTTGTATACCTTTTTTCCTTTTCTTTTTTCTTGTTTTTTCCTTTCTCTTTCTGTAATTTTAAATTCTCAATAAATATCATTTTTAAAAAAAATGGGAAAATGATGTCCTGGAAGACTGCATCCCAGATTCTGGCTTCAAATTGTTGAAGGGTGTGGCTAAGGCAGCTTAGCCACACAGGAGCATGGGAAGCTGCCTTATACTGAGACCACTAGTCCATCTAGCTTCCCGTTATGGACAATTGGCAGTGCTCTCTAGGGTTTCTCTAGGGCAATAAATTTGGCTAGATTTCACACTACCCAAAGTTACAGAATCTGCCCTCGGAATTCTCAAAAGCTTTCTTTTTGTGAAGGAAGCTTCCATTTTTCTTCCTCATTCTCAGGACACTTGAGAACTGCTTTAGAATTTCCATGGATGTGGGCTTTTGAGTTTTTCTTGTACATGTGAGGGGGCTGAGGGTGGTGTGGTGTATGTTTTTTCTTTCTGGTCAATTTTTCTCAAGCATTCTGAAGCCTGCTTGCCTAACTACACTTCTGGATCTTGGGGGGTGGGGGTTACTTCATGTTGTCTTCTCCTGGGTTCTATAATGAACCACAGGCACCAGGGAAGGCTGAAGAATGCAGACCACCAGCAAGATGATCTGTAATGTGAAAAGAAGGACACTCACAAACACCCCTCTGCCACCTCAGAAGTAGGTAAACATAACAGAACTACAGCACTCTACATGACAAAGTCATAGAAGGTTTCTCTCCTTTTGGACAGTTTTCAGATTCTCATCAATAGGTGGGGAATGGCTGGGGGTATGTGACCAAATTTAGGGCACAGCTATTTCAGTACCAAAAGAAAGTATTTCAGGGACCTTGTTGCTTGCTTGCTTGCTTGCTTGTAGAATGCAGACTACTGATAAGACAATTGCAGGATGAAAGGAAGGACACTCACAAACATCCTTCAGACACCTCAAAAGCCACCCATGAGAATTTCATTGAAAGTTTCTCTCCCCTTTGATAATTTGCAAATTATTTTCTCATTAGTAGATGGAGAATGGTTGGCGGGGGAACATGAGAAAAATTTCTGGCACAATGCTAGATTTTTCCATTTTGAAAGAAATCGTTCCGGGGTGGTTGTTTCTTTTCTGTTTGCTTGTTTGTTTGTTTAACTCAAAGCAGCTCTGCATGCATCTGAGAGCAAAAAAAGGGAAGCAGAAGCTGTTTCACTTTTACCCTTCTGGCCATTTTTATTTTATTTTATTTCAAATCACCCTCTACACTTTTTATATTAATTTGTTGTTTATTTGCTTGGGCATTTCTGCACTGCCCAATCAACTGTGTCCTCGGGGCAGCTCTCAATTTAAAAATCAATAAAACACAAATATAATCAACAGTACTAAAAAACAATATAGGAACACCAGCAGCATAAAACCATACAAGGGCATAAAATCATTAAGTGGTACTAATAATAAAAAAGAGGGGAAAGACAAAATAATACTGACAAATCAAAGCAGGCAATAATAAAAGCCTGGGAGAGGGGAGGGAGGGGCCTTGTACCAGTAATGGTCAGTAGGGCTGGTGCACTCACCTGATCTCCCATCACCAGTATCACTGCAGCTCATTGTAGCTGACACAATGCAAACCCACCAGCAGAGACAATCTAGCACTATTGTTGGTTCATTTGCACAGTACTGACCTTGCCAGCACCTCTCTTCACCGCTCTCCCTCCTGGTAAGTTGCTCCAGCATTCCTCAGATGAAAATAGAGACATTTCTCACTCCCCCCCCCACCCAACTGACTCCCCCCCCATTTTTGTCCCACCCCCCTGAGTATTTCCACCACCACTTCGCCAACAGGATGCAGCGCGCACACCCTCCACTGTCCTGAGAAAACCCCTTAATCCTGATTTGATTTGATTCTTTGGTAGATTTACAAAAAAGAAAAGCAGACACAAATAAATAAATTTTAGAAAAGCGCAAGACTGAACATGGATGCACAAAGCATTTTTTAAAAAAAATCAAGACTCCTTGCACTCCAGTTCCCCTTTCTTCCCACCCAGGGAGGCCCTGCCCTCTGCCTGTACCTCAGACTTGCACTTAATGCAAGTCTGGGCTCAGCAGCAGCAGCCTCTTCTCCTCACCACCACACTCCAGTAGCCACTATGAGCTGCTCAAGGGAGGAGGCTGATAGCAGTGGCCATGGAAAGGCAGCAGGATGCTCCCTCACAGCCACCACTGCTGTCACCACAGTCACTCGGGCCAAGCGCCAGCTCATCCACCTCCCCGAGCTTTGCGGTGGCAGAAGTGGTGGGGCAAACAGAGACATTCCAGGATCAAATCAGAAGCTGCAGTGGCTTTCATAATTCTGTAACTGCCCGTGGAAAATAGTGGCACTTGGAAGGTATGGCATTGTGGCTATTAACATGAGGTCGGTTAAGTGTCCCTGCCCCACTGATCATAACTGTTTTGCATGCGTAAAGGGGGAAAGAAAGAAAAGTGACCCTTCCCAAACAGCTTGGGGAAAATGATTTGGAAATGAAAAATGGCCTGGGGAGGATAAGATTAAGCAGCTTTCCTCCAAAGAACTCAAGATGGCAAATATGGTTCACTCCCTTTTCTCCATTTATCCTCACTATAAATGTGAGGTAGGTTAGGCTAAGAGGCAGTGGCTGCCTCAAGGTCACCCAGTGAGCTTCACACCTCAGTAGGGATTTGAATTCTGGTCTCCCAGATCCTAATCCAGCATTCTAACAATTACAGTAAACTATCTCTCTTCCTGAGCATGATTTTTCCATGCCACATAGAAATAAAATTTGGGTGTAATTTGAACCTACCAGTGCCCACATTTACGGTGATCTCATTGCTGTGTTTTATACTAGCCCTGCCACCTAGCCTCCATGCATTTGGCAGAAGATCTGCAACGGGCATTGATGGACATGCGCGCGCGCACACACACACACACACACACACACCACAAGGTCTTCCACACAATCAGGAATCCTAATTACACAAAATTCTCTCTCATGCAGTTGTGCTGGCTGGGGCTGATGGAAGTTACAGGCCAAAACCTCTGGAGGGCATCAGATTGAGGAAGTCCGGACTACACTCCCTCATGGTATGCAATTAGCAATTTAGTACTGCAAATTGCAAACTCTTTATAACTGTTGATATTGCTCCCTGTCTCAATAGGCCACTATAATTTTCATGAGGCTGCATATGTAAATCAGAGGGCAACAACTTTTTAGGCCCATGGTCACATATGGATTTTTGAGCAACCACCATAGGGCACTGCCCCCTCTGGTCACTTTTCTCTCACCTCCTGTGAATCAGCCCATTCCATCCCTGAAAGACGGAAAGGGAGAAGCAGCAGGCACACAGACTTTGCTGTCCCAAACAATCTGAGTAAAAGTCAGAAAGAACAGAATTACTTCGAGCCTTGAAAAGCACATTAGAGCTGAAAGAGAAAACAGGAGTCCTTCTTTAGCTCTATGTAGAAGGATATGAAGGATAACCACTGGTGGATGAAGGTGGGGGGCGTACCATCTAGTGGGGTGACATCGCCCCCACTCCCCCGATGCTCAGCGCTCGCTGCGCATCCCCAGGATGGCTCAGCACGCACCCCAGGACACTCGCCGCTCACCACGCATGTCCGAGGACATGCACCGCTTGCCACACACACCCCAAACACACGCCACACCTCCATGGCGGTGCACCACGCCCCTGGGACGCGTGCCACATCCCCTGGGACATGCACCTGCCACGCCCCCGGATATATGTCGCTCCCGGTGCCGGAATAGGTAGCTTTGCCACTGGGGATAACCATACTCACCACTTCCTGTAAGAGGGTAGTGAGGGGTGTTCAGAGAAATTGTGACCTCAATGATACAGTTCCATCGTATTCATGACCTCTGAATTGTTTAAAATGCTTGTGTGCAGAAAACAACAAGCCCGTATTGACAAACTAATAATGAATGAGATTTTAAAGAAGGCTCTAAGGATATTATCTTGGAAAATAAAAATAAAAATGTTATCTGGATATACCCACTGTTGCATTTTAGCAGCAAATAAAGAACCAACCCTGTGTCTTCTGCATATTTATATCAGAAATGGGAGGGGCAAGCACTGTCTGTTTTTAAATCAACACAGCACCCTAGAGACTAGGGATTAAAGAACAGCAGAAAGAATTCTAATCCTCAGTGTCCTCATTTCATTTTCTGTTCTTTTCTTTAATTAACTAAGGGAGAGATTCTGCAACATTTACTATTGCATCAGACAATAAAGGCAACATCGAGACCTTGTAAAAGGTACCATATGGATAGTCAAACACAATTAAAATATTGGGGGAAGGGCCATAGCTCAGGGGTAGAGCATCTGTCTTGCAAGTAGAAGGTTCCAGGGTCAATTCCTGACATCTCCAAGTAAGGTTGGGATATCTTGCCTGAAATCCTGGAGAGCCACTGCTGCCAGTGTAGGCAATGCTGAGCTAGATGAACCAATGGTCTGACTCAATATAAGGCAGTTTCATATGTTCCTATGTAGCAGCCACACTAAGCACCTTGCACTGCAGACAGGGATTTATGTTATCCAGAGATTATGTACAAATCTGGTATGTGGATTTGGAATATTAGCATGGCTTCTACACAGGGATGGGTAAATCTCTTGATTTTGGTTTCTTTCCATTCCTTGTTTTTTTCAGTCTTAAATTCAGTCCCACATCATTTTGCAAAATATATTTAAAGTCCTCATTAAACTTTGTCAAATTTCCCTTAATGCAGACATTGGTGTACATAATGTTTCATAGTATACCTATTTTTTCTGATAAAAAGCATGTAATGCTATTTTAGTAATATATGCATTTAACTGCCCATTTTAGTCCAGCACCTGTTTTTGTACACATTATTTAGTTGGAGAACTGAGGTGAAAAAATTGGAGATTTGCAGAATTCAAAAGAAAGAAGTGCGGCCTAGAAAAACTCCCAAGGGTTGGCTGGCTGGAGAGTGGTTTGGAGGGCCACATCCAAGCCTCAGGCTTGGGGTTCCTCACCCCTGAAACAGAATGTGTCTTTAAACAGAGGAATGTCCTCTGCAAAGTATGGTGTGTGGTCACCCTAATCTCACGTGGCACCACCCATCACCCTGATAGGGCCAACTCTTGGCAGGGAAAGGACTCTTGTTACACTATTCAGACATCAATACCTGTCTTCATCCATTCCCTTCCCATTCATGGTGACACCTAGGGTCATCTCACCTGCTGCATGTCAGGACCAGTTCTGAGGGTGTGGGTAGTGTAAAGGAAGAGAGGCAGTGAGACGAGCTGGCTAATTCCATGCATGTTCACTCTAGGGTTGGATCTGCTACTACAGATTTCAGTGGTATTTGCTACCAGGGGAGTGTGCATAAGACTGAAGTATAGGGGCTGGCTTCTATTCCCCTGCGGACTCCATACACACTGAGATTCATAAAATAAAAATGGGTGGCCTAGCTTCCATGGACAGGAGCGCATGGGAGACTTGGGAGCTGTGGCTCCCCAGCTGTTGTTGAACTCCCATCAGTCCCAGTCAGCTGGGCCAATAGCAAGGGGTGGTAGGAGTTGGAGCTCAACAGGAGGTTCCTTGTACATGACTTATAGATACTGACAATCTAACTAGTTGTGAAGCTGGACAAGAACTTTACTGTCTCCTTTAAGGAAGAGCAGGACAGACACAGAAAACTAAGCTTGGTGACACCAAGTGGCTAAACCTTTTAATGGCATGACCCATGCACCCCGCCTCTAGGATACTTGTAGCCCATAACTCTTCTTTCTGTATACTTTTTGCAAGTAAGTTCTATAACTGTGTGAGTGTGTGTGTGTGTGTGTAGTGCCACATTACTTTTACCGTTCTCCAATTAATCACAAGCAATATTTATGCACAGAATATCCTATATTTCAATGTTAGTCATAATGTATGCATTTTTCAACCTTTTAAGCTGTTTGTGCAGCCGCTGATTAGATGTCTAATTAAAACTTCTGTTGAGTTTGTCAGGTTAGACTTTGACTTCATCTAGCAAAGAGGCAGAATGGAGTAGTAGAGAAAAGTGCAAGGAGGGTCAGCCACATGAGCAAATTAAAAACTGAGCAGTGCAGCTTGAAATTCATTAGCATCTTGGCTGGGGAACACACAGGGCTGTTCGTTTGATCGGAGGGGGGAACTGGGCTATTCCCTCACAGAATCTCTCATCCTAGAGGTCTATCACAAAAACGAGTGGAATGATGAAATGAATTTGTCTGCCTGACCAAAGGTGATCTTAGTCCTGACAAAGAATCAGCCAGCACCCTTTTTTAAAAAAATGAAAGTACCCCTCTCTTACTCTCTCTTTTTCTATTTAACCTTCTGAGCAACAGCAGCAGTGGCAGCCAACCTGAATAAAATGGGGGGGGGGTCAGGCAAGCCCTGCTTATTTGATGTGGTGCACGAACACCATTTGAAAGGCAATGCCCATCAACTTTGGGGGAGCCCTGGTCCTCTCAACTATTTTATTTGGGGGGGAGGGCAAAGAACCCTCAGCCCCTAGGAGTTGGCTCCTATCCCTGAAACAAAACCAAAAACTATGAAAGCGATACTGACCCGAGGAATATGCCACACCAGAAAGGGATAGTTCTGAAATTCCCCTCATTTGAATTGTTCAAGTTCCAAGCTGTTTTGATTTGATTCCAAAGCAGAAGTGATGCAGTTGGGGATTAGGGGTGTGCACTGACCACAATATTTAAGTTAAGACCCTAATTCAGTGCTTCAGGATTCAGCGGTTCCAAAAACAGCCCACCTCAGTTTAAAGCACTCTGGAGGCTGCCTGATTCAGTCAGAGTCCAAGTCGACTTTGCGGGGTGTGCTACAGGTTTCCTTCCCTGCATTTGCTAATGGGAAATACAGTAGTACCTCAGGTTAAGAGCATAATTCGTTCCAGAGGTCCGTTCTTAACCTGAAACTGTTCTTAACCTGAGGCACCACTTTAGCTAATGGGGCCTCCCTCTGCTGCCGCGCCGCGATTTCTGTTCTCATCCTGAAGCAACGTTCTTAACTCAAGGTACTATTTCTGGGTTGGCAGAGTCTGTAACCTGAAGCGTCTGTAACCTGAAGCATCTGTAACCCAAGGTACCACTGTAATAATAAAAGAAACTATAACTTTCATTCTTTTTTTATAGAAGTGGGTATAATTTGCCTCTTTAGAGTGGATAAAGCCTGCCAAAGTACAGAAAAATAAGTGCAGGGATTTTTGTGCTAGGAACCTTTGAAGTTTGGTTTCTTTTGTAGCCTTTTTTTTTTTTTTTTGCAAAATGTGATGGAATTTGCAGGTGTGTGTGAGAGAGAGAGAGAGAGGGAGAGAGGGAGAGAGAAATAGCCACAGGCACACATAGGCATAAAAAAGAAAATAATAATAGAGGCAATGGGTTCACTGATAAATAATACCATAAGTAAATATCACTCAGGATAAACTAAGGTACCTGTGTTTGAAAAAGCCACACACTCACACAAATAACAAATTTAAAACATAATACGTGGCTTAATGAATTCACTTGAAATAGACTAAATAAAACAAATTGCATTGAACTTAAAGCAAACTCCTCAGACCAGAATAATTTGAAGGTGAAGGTGTGAGGAGGGGGAATCCACTGCCTCTTTTAAGAAAAGCAACACAAACAACACAAGATAAACAACAGCAAGAGTCAATCAAAAGGAGTAAATGAAAAAGAACTATAGAATTTGAAAAAAGGGGTAGGTAGAAGAAGGAACTGGGTTGGACTTAAGCAAAAGAAAGGTCTCCCTTCAACTGCTCCACTAGAAATCTTTTAATAATGTTAGTGTCCCCCATAGGCAGAATTTTCAAAACAGCAATAAACACATGAGATCAAGGCTATATATTTACTTCAGTATCCCTCCCACAAAGCACTTGGGTTGGAGGGTCTGAGTGAAATCATCCCCTCTGATTACAAGTTTGACATGTCAATCATAAAAGAGCTTCCCGTATTTCCACCTTGGTGTTTGGTCTCCCTTCCCTGTTCATCACATCCTTACATTTGCCTTATAAAGGCAAGCTTAGAGACATTAGTTTTCCTTTTAGCAGACACTTGTATGCAGCACTTTTAAAGGAAAAACCCCAGTCACTGAGCCACCACAAAATGCACTTAGGTTCTCCCCTTCAATTTGGAGCTCCTCAAACAGGTCCTACTTCACCCATTATAAGCACCTCACTTTGGCTCATAAATCATACAAATCCACTGTGAACCCCATTAGGAAACACTGCTTGTTTCATGTGGTATTCATTTTTGCAAATTCTGTTGTGCATGCCAAATTTGTGACATCTTTCAGCTCCCTCTGGTTCATTTGTGACTTTCCGTTTCCTTTTATTACTGGTCTGCATTGCTTTTTGAGTAAACACTACATAAAGAAAAGAAAATATTGATGTGATTGTATCTTCAGGGCACAGTCTGAAGCCCATGATATATCAGTCTTGCTGAAGCTAAGCAAATCTGAGTCTGATCTGTGCCTGGATTACAACCCCTACCACAAAATATAAAGCAAATCCAACAGTTGATCCTTTGGGTCTACACAGCCCCTATCCACTGACCAACACTGTGTATTGTACACAGATCACTGATGTGAGTCATTCCTATAATGGTCTCTCATATGCATTCAATCATACTCACTTTGAGTCGTCTACCAGTTGAAATGTACACATTAACACAACCACTTCATTAATATTCTTAGATCCTCAGAAAACGAAGGTACTGAGAGAGTTCTAAATTTGGGGTGAGAATGTTTGGAGCAATTAATAGATTTCAACCTCACCCCGAATCATAATAATACCATCATTCAACTGCTCTTTTCAATTCACCCCAAAATTGCTGAAAATGAATGGGATAATACTTTGGCTCAGCACTCATTATTTCCCAAAAATGTTGGCAGATCTTTGCTGAATAAAGAACTGATGTGACAGGAAAAATGACCTCAGAGCTCCTGGGAAGACACCATCCAGATATTTGCTAAATTTAGATGATTCTCTCTGACAGAACAAGGGTACAAGGGGTCTGACCTCCCACCAGAATAATTGGGGCTTCATTGAACTAACAGCAGCATGGGAAGTCCAGCAGCACAGTGAGATTCATTGTTCCCATTTTTTTTGCCCTCTGTTGAAGTTAATAGGGCTTTTGGCCTCTGTATTTTATTTGTCCTTTGGTTCAGCTCCAGTATAGGCTATACAGCAGATCAGAACACTTTACAAAGCTGATTCACATGCATATTGACTTTACAGGCTGACTCCACAACTACCTTTGCCTGCTGTGTTAGTCTTGGAGAATTACAGGAAACAAGAGTGCCTTTAGTTCCATGACCCTATGCTACCATGCTTGCAAGAGATGCTGCCATTCAGTGTGATTGTCATC